GCTTAAAATAACTTAAAATCATGTACTCAAAACATTAAAAAATAAATCACCATGCTCAACTATATTTTCATGAGTCTAAATTCATATAAGAGCAAAAAGAGTAAATTTTAGCACTCACTAGTATTTTTCTGCTCTGAGTGGTTATAGGTTGCATTAAAGAAATAAGTCATATAAATCTGTGTTAGTTTGCTAGGGCTCCCAAAACAAATACCACAGACTGGGTGGCTGAAGCAACAAAAGTTTATCTTCTCACACCTCTGGAGGCTAGAAGTCCAAGATCAAGGTGTTAGTAAGTTTAATTTCTTCTGAGGCCTCTCTCCTTGGCTTATAGGAGAGAGGCCTTTTAGGACTGCGTCCTCGAGTGGCCTTTTCTCTGTGTCTGCCCACATCCGTAGTGACTCTCTGTATGATTGCCACTAGTCATGTCCTCTTTTATAAGGACACTTTTATAAGTCCCTTTGAAGACACCAATTAGATTGGATTGGGCCTACCCATATGACCTCATTAACCTAATTACCTCTTTCAGGGCCCTATCTCCAAATAGGGTCACATTCTGAAGTAGTGGGGTTTAGGGTTTCAACATGTGAATTTGGGTTGGAGGGGCACAATCCACCCCATAACAAAATCCAAACTTTCCATGTAGAGTATGTCCTGTAATTTTATATATATTAATATTTATTAAACTAGTAATTAATGATTGTATTAGTTCCGTATTGCTGCTATAACAAATTGTCACACAGTTAGTGGCTTAAACAATAAAAATTTATTATCTTACATTTCTGGAGTTGAGAAGTCTTACTGGGCTTAAATGAAGGTATTGGCAGAACTGTGTTCCTTCTGGAGGCTTTAGGGAAGAATCTGTTTCCTTTGCCTTTGTAGATTCTAGAGCTGCCTACATTCCTTGACTGTGACCCTACCTCTGTCTTCAAAGCCAATAATGGCGGGTTGAATTTCTCACCCAGCATCACTCTGACATTGTTTCTGTGGTCGTGTCTCCATCTCTGACTCTCCTGTCTCCCTCTTTCCCGTATGAGGACCTTTGTGATGATATTGGGTCCATCTGATAATCCAGGATTATCTCCACATCTGAAGATCCTTAATTTAATCATGTATGCAAAGTTACTTCTTCTATGAGGTCCTGTATTCACAGGGTCTGGAGATTAGGATGTGGACATCTTTGGGAAGGATTATTCTGCCTCCTATATTGATATATGTCACAATAGCCTCAATTGCAAAATCAAAAAGATTGCTGAAATTTTTCCCAGATTTGCATTCTTATTTTATTTTATTTATTTATTTATTTTTGAGACAGAGTCTAGCTCTGTTGCCTGTGGCTAGAGTGCCCTGGGGTCAGCTTAGCTCACAGCAACCTCAAACTCCTCCTCTTGCCTCAGCCTCCCGAGTAGCTGAGACTACAGGCGCTCACCACCATGCCTGGTTAACTTTTTCTATTTTTAGTAGAGATGGGGTCTTGCTCTTGCTCAGGTTGGTCTTAAACTCCTGACCTCAAGGGATCCTCCCAGCATGAGCCACTGCACCTGGCCCAGATTTACATTTTTAAAAGACAAAACTGACCATGTGCAGTGACTCACACCTGTAATCCTACCATGCTGGAAGGCTGAGGTTTGAGGATCCCTTGAGGCCAGGAGTTCAAGACAAGCTTAAGCAAGAGCAAGACCTCGTCGCTACTTAAAATAGAAACATTAGCCGGGCATGGTGGCACGTGCCTATGCTCCCAGCTACTCAGGAGGCTGAGGCAGGAGAATCACTTGAGCCCAGGAGTTTGAGGTTGCCATGACCTATGATGATGCCAACTGCCCTCTAGCTGGGGCAACAGAGCGAGACTCTGTCTCAAAAAAAAAAAAAAGAAAAACTCAAAACTGTCATGTTATTATTTAAAAGTTATTCGTACACTAAAAAGTGTAGAGAACTGTGTTAGCATGGTGATTAAGAATGTTGCTTAATACAGACTACTTGCATTCAAATCCTGGCCATGTACCTACTTGGTACATGACCTTAAGCAAATTATTTAATCTCTTCGGGTCTCAATTTCCTCAGCTGTTGATAATGTAAATAATAACAGTATCTACCTCATAGAGAGTCTTTATGAGGATTAAGTGAATGAAATGCTTAGAATTTGCCTGGCACATAATATATACTCAATAAATTCTAGCTATTACAGTTTTTAAAATTTAAATAGTGAAAATTCTTCCATCAAGCTCCATTCCCGGGAGATAATCATTATAAATAATTCCATTTGCATCTGAACTATTGCTGTTTGAATTGTATGTGTGTGTGTTTACAAACATAAAATCAAATTTTATCTTTAGCTCTTTAACTTTGTTTTGCACTCAATATTTTGTGATCTATTTTCTGTTAGTGTACATAAAGTACCCTGTTCTTTTGCAAGATTGTGTGGTAGTCTGTTGTACAAACATACAGCCTTCCATTGATGGGATTTTCGGATTGTTCTCAGGTTTTGCTATTCTTACCAAAGCCTTTAGGTACGTTCTGGGACATATATATCTGCACACTTACATAAGAATGTCAGTGATACAGATTCCTGCAGGTGGAATTGCTAGGTCCAAAGATATACAAATATACCTTATCCAGTTAGATAGAGTTTATTTGAGAGGCGAATTCTTAAAAATCTTGCATAATTCAAGGTTAACTTGACAAAGGATGATATTTCCGTTAATGAGCTCAAGCGGCATTGCTATGGGATAGAGCACAAATGCCATCCTACAATGCATATGGGCTTTATAATTATGCCAATTTTATACTTATGCTATACTTGAAAGAATTTTAGGTTGGGTGATTTACATTATTTCAATGTTTGTGCCTAAAGTGAAACTTCATTAATGTTTTCATGTCACAATATTTCAATTTCGAGTAATTCAAAACTTACACAAAATACCAGTCACTTCACTATCCTCACAAATTGCCCTCCAAAAAAACGAATGTGTTAATTATACTCCATCCAACAGGATATATAAGTGTTTTTTACACCTTTTGCCATCATGAATTAGATATTGCTACTTTAAAAAAATTTTTCCAGTCTGATGGTAAAAATAGTATCATGTTTAATTAGCATTTCCCTGATAACTAGTAAGTTGAGCCTCCTGTCATGCCTAATGGCTGTTTATAGTCCTTCTGTAACTTACCTGTTTGTGTCCTTTGTCCATTTGTCTCTGAAGTTTGAATTCTTTTTTCTGAGACCTTTAAAAATCTGAGGAAAACATCTATGGGTTTTTCCTGAGTTAAATAAAATAGGAAAACCCAGAAAATTAGCTATTGGAAATATTTTTTTTAATTTAGTTTAAGGCAAAAGTGTACCTACATAAACTCAGCTGAAAGCGCTGATTCATGGGTTAAGGTCAAATTCAACTTAAAAATTTGTTTTCCAACTTGTGTCCATTTTGAAGTTGGTTATTTAGATCTTGAAATGACTTATAAGTGGTGGTTAAGTATTTAGGCCAATCCACAAAGACCTCTGTGATAAAACCAAATGATTTCAACAACTACATTTTCTTTCCTTCCTTCCTTCCTTTCTTCCTCCCTCCCTCTCTCTCTCTCTTTCCTTCCTTCCTTCCTTCCTTCCTTTCTTTTCTTTCCTTCCTTCCTTTCTTTCGACAGGGTCTCACTCTGCTGCCTGGGCTAGTGTGCAGTGGCATGATCATAGCTCACAGCAACCTCAAATTCCTAGGCTCAAGTGGATCCTCCTGCTTCAGCCTCTCAAGTAGCTGGGAGTACAGGCACTCGCCACCACACCTGGCTAATTTTTTTTTTTTTTAATTATTTTATGTAGAGACAGAATCTCACTATGTTGCCCAGGCTGGTCTCAAACTCCTGGCTTCAGGTGATCTTCCCGCCTCAGCCTCACAAAGTGCTGGGATTACAGGCGCAAGGCACCGTGCCAATTTAAAATATTTTCTAATTTCCATTTTCTCTCTCTTCTAAGAGCAGTTTCTGGAAGGGCTCCGTAGTGGTGCTTTCAGAGTCAGAAGGGAAAAAATGAGAAAGAAGAAAGCCCCCAGTTTTGGGGCCACTGGAATTCACAAGCATACCTCACCATCGCCCTGTTTTCCTCTCTCCTAAAAGGAGGTAGCCCTTCTAAGACTTTAAAAAATTAGACTGGTCATATGGGTTTATTGTAGAAAGATCAGAAAATACAGATAAACAAAAGAAAGAAAACAAAAGTCATCAGATTTAAGCACTGTTTAAATTTGAACATCTATCTTTCCCAGCATGTTTCCATTTTTTGTTTATTCAGAGAGCTGGAGGAGAAAATCCTGGTTTTTTTCCTATATTGAAAATGGTGAGGTAGATCATTACATTATAACAGCTGATTCTTTATGAACTATTTCCTAATTTGGAAATAAGTGAAAAGGTATGAAAAATAGTAGGTACAAGTTAAAATAATTTTTATGAAATAGTCATCTGTGTTTCTCCTTGCCTCTCTTTCTGTTTCTTCTGTTGTATGAAGACATGGATGAAAGAAGGTAAAGAAGAAGGAAGGAAGTTTAGTAGAGAACAACATGTAGAAATAAGAGAATGAAAATCAAGTAAAATTAGGAGACAGTGTGTTTCAGCCCAGTGGAGAGTGGAGAAGGAAGAAAAACCACACAGACCTGCATCTTTTTCCTCCATGTAGCTGCCCATTTAGGAGAGCTGTGAGGATCACGCAGAGACTAGTTAAGTCAGTGGTATAGGCTGGAGTTTGGTGCTGATGAGATCAAGAGGGTGCAGAAACCACTGTGCTGAACAGTGAGTGTCCGTAAAAGATTCTAATCTCAGAGCAGGGACAGCAGTTGAAAACAAATGCCTCAAAAATGCATGCCCAAAGTCAGCTTGGGGGAAGTAGGCATGACTTAGCATAATCTAACGTCACTCCCAGGGGAAAAAATGTCTCAAAGCTTGTGTCCCACTGATTATTATTATAGTTTTTATGTGGCTGCACATGATAACCATGTTGGTTTGTTGGTTTCTTTGAATTACAGTTCAAATTGCCATAATATTTGGTGCAAGAATAGTAGACTATGTCTTCAACTTGTGTGAAGGTAAATTTGACTTCCTTGAACGGCTCTCAGACAATTTACTCCTGAATATCATATCTTATCTGGATCTCGAAGATATTGCCAGGCTTTCTCAAACATCACGCAGATTTGCAAAGGTAACAGTTGATTATGTTGTGTCTACATAGAATTCTCCATGCACTTTTTCAATTTTTTAAAATATAGCAGTGCTTTATTATTTGCATTTATTTCAACAGTCATTTGTTGAGTACTAACTTTGTGATGGACACTATCCTAGGCACACAAGCAGCAAAGATGAAAAGACATTTTTTTCTGCCCACAAGGAACTTATAGTCTAATAGTAGAGATCCATATAGATACAAATAATATAGTGTGATCAATTCAACGAGGGACGTGTGCAAGGGACAAAGAGAGTGCAAAGGGATTTCCTCTGCCTGGCTTCACAGAAGTGGGTTACTTTATCTGGGTTTTGACGGGGAAATAGGAGTTTGACTGGTGGTCTAGGTCAAGGGGCATTCCAAGTTGGGAACTGGCTCAGGCAGAGGCATGGTGGCATGGGAGAATAAGGCAAGTAGTAACTACCCCACATCCATTTCCATTTCTTCCACTATGGGTGGTCTCGGTGGGCTGCCCATTGCAGTGCCCTGCTCTCCCCCTTCCCCCGAGCTGACCAGATGAGCTCTCTCACTACTTTGGATCCTCAACAGAATGACACGAAAACAGAAAATACAGTGCTGATTCCAGCTGGTGTCAAGGCCTTGATGGGACCTTTCTTAGTTCCACTTTCTGGATCCTGGAAGGTGCCTTGGCTCCTGCCCCTTCAGCCATTCCTTCAATTGTAGAGCCCCCACCCCTACTCCACAATCACACACACGTACTAATTTTCCATTAAATCCCTTCCGGGCTTG